TGCACACAGAAACTCCCAGAATCCTTCCTTATGGACATCTACTCTTGAGGAACTGAAGTTTTTCTTTTATGCCAAGCACTTGATGAGAATACTTGTGGTCAGAGAAACAATCTGAGGGAAAAGCCACAAAAAAAGAGAGTGACATTGATTAGAGGGCCCTGCCTTTTATCCTTAGATTCCCTTCCTAGTACAAGAGAACAGAGCTTCTACATCCTCGGCTTAGTAGAGTGAAAGGCAAGTAGATCTCTCCAGATCTCCTGGCCTACTATTTAGTAAACCCTTAGTCTAGCAATAGAAAGAGAATCCTTGGAAATTTTTCTGAGATTGGTTAAGGCATGAATTCTTCTGGGAAATGAAAGCCACGTTGTATTTTTTTTCTGTTGGGTTTAGGTAATGGGTCAATTTTCCTTTTAATTGAGTCTATGCTCCCTTACCCATTCTGTTCTCAACAGCAATAATCTTTGCTGTACACTCTTCTATTATAGATTGAAAGTACTGTTGAAAGCATAGTATAGTTTCCATGTTGAAGACAGAGTGCGATAAATACATTCCTGGTTTCCTAGATGTGCTTGTTTCTGGAAGCTTCACGATAACGTTCCGACTCAAAATTCGAATAACGTGCAGAGATCTTTTCTCTCTTATAAACTGCAGAGCAGGAGGTAGGATTCCACACACTAGAAGAAATAAATATCACCTAGCAAATATGTTTTTTGGAGAAATTTAATACATCTCTCTATATTCTGTACAAAACGAATAATGAGGAAAACTTAAATAGTCCTGGCTTAAGCGAATGTTTCAGGTTATTACCAATGGTTTTGCTCATTAAGTAGCATGGAGCTTTGCCATAGAGAGCCCTATTTTTAGCCCAGAGTATAAACAGAAACAGTTTCTCATTAGATGTCTGGCACTGTTCTGAGACCACTACCTGCATTATTTCATTTATTCCTCACAACAGGCTTTGAGGTTAAAATTAATATTATCCCCATTTTTTTCTGTCTTTTTACCATCTTTATTTTTACTTTTTTAAATTAAACTATAGTCAGTTTACAATGTTGTGTTGTTTCTGGTCTACAACATAGTTATACATACATATATATATATTCCTTTTCATTTCATTTTTTATTATAGGTTATTACAAGATATTGAATGTAGTTCCCTGGGCTATACAGTAGGACTTTGTTGTTTATCCATTTTATATATAGTAGTTCGTATCTGCAAATTCCAAACTCCTTTATCCCTCCTCTACTTTTCCCCTCAGTAACCATAAGTTTGTTTTCTATGTCTGAGTCTATTTCTGCTTTGTAAATAAGTTTATTTGTCTCATTTTTTTGGATTCCACATGTAAGTGATATTATGTGATATTTGTCTCTTTCTGACTGACTTCACTTAGTATGTCAATATTACCCCCATTTTGCAGTGAGGAAGGCACAGGGTTTAAGTACAATCCCTAAGATCGCACAGCTAGTCATGGTAGCCTAACCTTCTTGCCTCAAGGCAGCTGTAGATATCCTTGTAGTCACACAGACATTGCTCCCACAAAGTCTTCTACCATGATAAAGAATGCAGCAAAAAGATCCTTGGAGTAGATAGCCAGGGGGTCCCCATCCCTCAGTGTAGTGGAAAGCACAGCTTAGCTCCCATCACCTATACCAGTCCTCTTCCTTCAGTGCCTTCCTTCAGTGTAGAATCTGGTCCCCAAAAATGACATTTCCCAGACTCTGGTGCAACTATGTTCCAGATGCAAACTTGGGTCCCTTCCTTAGATGCACCTTAGGTGCAGGACTGGGAAGGTGGAAGTCAGCTGTTAGGTTCCTCCTGCTGTTTAGCCTGTGGCTGCCCGAGCATGGCTCTGAGAAATTAAGCTGTACTATCACAGTGCCCTAGCATCCCCTCCCTCCCCTCGTGGGTGTCACAGGCAGCCTTGTGGTGGTGGCAGGGACCTACCCACTCAGCTTGCCACTGGCTGGTCACTCTCTTTAGGGGTAAAGACACAGTGACTGCAGGCAGTGCAGCAGCCTCCTGCTGTCCAGATCACATCTACTGTCTGGGGTTCTTGTCCTCAGCAGGTCCTCTCTGAGTGAGGCAGAATCAGCACCTTGGAGAGCCACAGTTATTCTGGGGCTGTTCCCAGAGCCCCAGCCTAGAGTCCATTATTCCAAAACCTGATTCTCTGCATTAAATCCCCTTCTGCATAAAACATCTAGTCTGATTCTGTTTTCCTGCCTCTGACCCTGAAAATACACTTGGATTCCCAAGCAAAGGCTAGTAACTTTTGTAACAATTGTCAGTAAACGCCTTTGGGGAAAAAGCTGCTTGACCTCTCAGCACAGATGGTCCGGGCAAGAATACAGACTATTCTGTTTTCTTGTACAATATTTGCTATGAAGTGTTATTATTACTGTAAGGGAATGGGGATACTTATCAGGACCAAATGGCAATCTCTTAAAATGTGTTTAAACCTATACATCGAAATGCATCTTGTTCTCTTTAAAATCCATGTTATTTTGCGATTCTCTTCACTCTTTTCTGATTCTTCCCACCTACTCACCCTCATCTTTTTCTCATTTGGTTTCTTGATATTTAACACATTCTTATACCTCCTATCTTCTAATGAAACTGCACTTTCTTGAATAGGTCCCCAAATCTATTAGAAACTTCTTGAAGACATAGACCCTGTCTTGTTCAGCACTGTATCCCCAGGGTTTAGCACAGTGACTAGAGTGGGGTAAATACTCGGTACACATCGACCTAGTGCATGAATGAACACCACCCTTTCTAGATGCTATTATATATGGATAACTGACCATGACTATTAAAGTAAATATCCTTCTGATGAGAACAGATTAATTCAGGGAAATACCTCTCCTTGGAGAATTGCCATAATAAGGCAAATTTCTATCTGGGTATGAGACTCGTTATATCTGTACTAAAGACCCAGGGAGCTAGGAAAATATTATGCCTTTTCTGCAGAAATGAGGCAATTACTGTAAAAGACGTATTATGCAATCATCTTAGGAACACAAACAGGGCTGTGAGCACACACTGTGATTATAAAGACAGACAAATTTTGCAAACAAGTGATTTTCCAACAGATACAAACAGTCCTTGCCGTTAATGAGGCAGGGACAGTGTGGCTTTGCCTGACCGTCTTTGCCAAAGAAGAGGCAGCCGAAAATGTAGAATCACCTTAGCAGGTCATCAGCACATTTACCCATTATCTCATGTAATCCTCCTCCATGAAGTCCTGGTTACCACCACTCCCGTCTCACACGTGAGGACCTGTGACTATAGAAATGAGACTGTTGGTAAACAGCACATATGTCCTTAGAGCTGGGTCCTCTGGCCACAAACCCTGCCTTCCTTCACCTCATCCCATTTTCCCAGTTCAGCCAGATGCAGGATGTGAATTTCAGGGCATCTCAGTTGCCAACAGGGCAACCATGACCTAGCCACTCTCTGCAGAGCCGGGGCTCTGGGCCAGCCCTCGGGAGCCCCTGAGTTCTGGTTGTTTCTCCAGACACTGTAGTGGATTTGAACTCTCAAAACATGGTTTCTCCACAGCTTCAGATTCACCTAGTTCAGATGGTTACTTTCTGGTGAAGAGGAAACTGCAAGGGCCTTAGAGAAGATTGAAGTAAAATTAATATCCCTATCTTCATCTGCACTGAGAACAAGAGGTCTGGAACCAACAAGGAGGTAGCTAGCTCTGTCTTCGTGGATCTGGTGTCTCCAAGGATGCTGCCTTGCTCTCTGGGCACCAGTTTTAAGAGGGACATTGATGGGTTGCAGTTGATGAGCAGAGGAAGGGCAGAAGAGGAAAAGGGTGCAGTCCCCCACTAGCTCCATTCAGTGCCTCCATGGAGCAGGCTCTCCCCCTCTGGGGCCTTAGACACCATGTGGTATCTCCACCCTCCACACGCACCCCTGCCATCTCCACCTTCATGGTTCCTTCTCCTCCTCCCAGTCTCCCCTGTCCATCCCCCTGTTGTCCTCCTTCCTTGTAACTAACTCCCTGTCAGAGCACCCTGTTCCTTTCCTTCCTATCCCCTATTACAAGTTGTAATAATGCACTTGTTTCTTTACTTCATGTTTAAAGGCTGTGTCTTCAGTTGTTTGTAAGTTTTAGTTCAGAAAGATTTTGCCCAACACCCTGGCTGCTGCCCCTTTCCTAGTGTGGCAGATAGCCATCCAACCAGATCGGACTGGATCTCAGTAAGTATCTGTTGGATAAAGAGATGAATGCATGACTGCGTGAAGGATGGATGGATAAATTCATGGATGAGTTCCAAATGTTTGATGACGATAGTGCCCAGGCTGGAGCAGAGATGACATAGGATAAGGCCCAGAAAGTGTTATTGGATGTTTTCTAGTTTATGCCTCACTCTCAGACCCAAACGGGGACCAGTTAATGAAAGCTTTAGGAGGAAGATTTTTATACCGAGATTCCGCACATGTAAGAGCTATTCAAAAGTGAAATGGACTGGCACAGGAGCAATTATTTCTCTGTTTCTGGAGGGTGTTCAAGAACCAACTAGAAGATCACTTGCCAGGAATGTTGAGAAATGGGGAGGAGATTCCTGTATTAAAAAGAGGTTGGTTTAAAAAAAAATAAATTTCTTCTGTATAACACAGGAAGCTATATTCAATATCTTATAATAACCTTTAATGAAAAAGGAATATAAAAAGGAATATATGTATGTTCCTTGGGTGGGACATTATGCTGTACACCGGACGCTGACACATTGTAACTGACTGTAATTCAATTTTAAAAAAAGGCAAAAAGTTTTTTAAATAAAAATAAAAAGGGGTTCGTCCAGATGGTACCTGAGGATGCCTCTCTCTCTCTGATTCTGTGATTCCAGGTGCATTTTCTTCTGCTGAGCTGGAGGTGGCATGAATATCCTTTGCTCTTTTACTTTTTTTCCCCTAATTTTCTAAATATGCTGTTAGCTGATGGGTTTCTCCGCTCTGCTTTCTTTCTTTCTTTCCTGGGAATACAGATGAGGTCTTGTCGGAAAATTTCCTGGACTATAAGAACCGTGGAGTTAACGGTTCTCATCGGGGCCAGATCATCTGGAAGATTGATGCCAGCTCTTACTTTGTGGAACGTGAGTACATTTCCCAATCCTGTTGCTCAGGATGAAGCAGAATTCAACAGCTTTGTTCTTTGCTGTGTTGCATCGCCTGCACTTAGAAATGCACCCTGTGTAAACTATTCAACATAACTGCCTCAAATAACAAACCATTCAACGTAACTGTCTTCATCAGCAGTACGAGGACACACTTTAAATATCATTAGAAAGATATTATAAAATCAGCTCTGTGAAATACATCAAATACTGTCAAATTTGGGTGAAAGTGTATTTCAACTTGGTGAAGTTGCAATGTCCTAGAGTAAACAAATGGCTTACCAGGTCATGCTCAAAGCAACTAGAAGTTGAGCACTTAAGGAGAAAAGGACTTTTTTTCCACGTGCAGACGTAAGAAGATCCCACTCCACAATATACCTGTTGGACTAGTGATAACTCAGTGCTTTGGGAAAATAGATAAAAGTGAAATTGGAAGGTAGATATGTCCATTTTGCACACACATCAAGTGAATGGACAATATACTAAGAATGTGCAAATGTAACATAATTTGTCAAAAAATGAAAATGTATTGAGACAAAGCTTAATTGGGCTTGAAAATGATTAGAATACTGACTCAGGGCACACACAGATATCAGATAAATTAAAATGCTATGATGAATTATCACTTTAGGAGTCTGCATGCATTAAACCTGTATATAATATGCTATATGAATTTATATATTTTGTGAAATAACTTACATTTTCAAAAATGTATTATAGAACAAGAGCCGAATAAGGAATAGGAGGAGATTGGATGTACAGAATGTTCTAATATGGCTATCAAAGCATATGTACATCAGAGCATCAAATATCCTCTTGCTATAATAGACAAATGCAGCATCCAGGCCATTATCCGGAAGATTAGAGACATTTTTGTTGCAAATCAAAAATAAGGCTCTTCACAGTCTCTAGGTAGTAATAAACACATTAATCTAATTGGTAAATTATTCCTCATTAAATAAAAATCTTTTTATAAATTTTGAAGAGCAGCCAGGTTTAAAATCTTGAAGTGCAACAGAAGGTCCTTCTACCTGGGGGTTACATGAAAATAATAATAAATAAATGAGGTTTTGTTTTATTTTTTCCATTTTTCACTTTATTTTCTTCTTTTTGTCATTTCCTTTTATGAGAGTGGAGATAGATCAGTGATTACCTGAAATCTATTCTAATAGCACATTGCTTTTGGAGTTACGATTCAGTTAAGAATTAGGAAATTGTTGTTGATTTAGATGATTTTTTTTAAAGGTCTGATTAAATCAGACTTTGAAAGTGCCACCAAATTAGGAATATTCCAAACAAACATTTTCTGCACTCCCCAAGGATTTACATGCATGATAAACTACAAAAGGTGATAAATCCTGAATCATTTCCTATTCTCTGCTCTAATTTCTCCCTAGAGGGCTATTTGACTGCAGTAATCATTGCTGTTATATGAGAACTGCAAAGATACAAATTTGAACACCAACAGAAGAAATAACTGGTGAAATTTTAGCTTTACCTATCTTGACAAAATCTTAGAACGGTGCATTGTTATAGTAACTCAAACGCTATTTTTTGACTTGTGCGGGTGGGTTCAGCGTGCAGGTCTCAAGTCTTCAGAAGGAGTTATCTCAGTCCTTGTTGACTGCATGCTCCCATCAGAAGTCCTTCAAAATGGGGGCTTGGGTTGCCTAGAAACAATGAGGAGAGAAACACAAAGTTTAGATCTCTGGCCCAGATCTGTTACGTGCACCTCCAGTTCATTGTTGGTTCCCATCAGTAGCCTGGAAGGACCACTGATGACAGCCAAAAGAGTTTCTCCCGAAGGGACCTCCTTTCTCCACCTACCCTCAGGTCCAGTCATGTTGTGATCATGGTCAAGATCATGGTCAAGCTGCCTTCTCACAGCTGCCGAGGCATGAACCAGACCTCTGCAGTCATTTTGACTGCTCTGCTTTGCCTTGGTTTCCTGCCCGCTCAGGACCACTGGTCACCAGGTCCAGCCTCACCTCCAGCTCAGTCCCTCCTGGTCAACCCCTTCCCAGTCTCTGCCCTGGCTTCCAGATTCACACCCTGATTGCTGTGCCTTCTCTGATTTCATCATTCCCTGCGTTTGTCAGAAGGACGTCCATTCTTCAAATCCCTTCTCCGCACACCACTTCCATATCCTTTTCCATCACATCCTCCCAAATTAAAAAAGAAACACGGTGGCCCCTGATGACACAACTGCAGCAAATCTAAGCCCTCGTCCTGCTGTGAGTTTTTAACAACACCCCTTGAGCGTGGCAAGGTGAAATGTCCACAGGTTGGGGGCAGGATTTGCCTCCTGTCTCCATGCTGCAGCACATGGCTTCCAAGTGAGAGGCATGTGGGCTCAACGTCCACTCGGTGTGGCCCTAGGACTCTTGAGATTCTGTTCCTTCATCTATAAAATGAAGTTCATGGATGAGCCCCACCAGGTGACCCCATGAAGACAGAGAGCACACGTGCAGGGCCAATGGGGTGTCTGGTGCAGCCAAGGGTGAGAAGGCTCCGAATTAGGAATGGCAGTGCTACCCGAGAGACAGCAGAGCGAACAACGTACACTCTGCGTGGTGTTTCTCCTCTGGGAATGGGCGTGGTGGAGTCTGGGTGACAACTCTGAATTCAGTGGCTTTATTCTGAAAGTTTCCTGGCGGGGGTGGAATTCTTTGCAGCCAAAGTTGGAGATGGAAGGACGCTAAAGGAAAAGCGGGGATCAAGAGAACTAGTTGCTCCCCCTCGTTAGCATTTCTGGTCCATGCTTTCTCCTCTCCAGCAATGAGGCAGGGCCAGGTTATCCTTCTGGAGTCAGTAGTTCCCCTGATCTGTGATTATAAACGCAGGGATCTCGTCAGATCAACCATCCAGGTGGTTTAGGTGACTCACTGTTACAGCCTTGCATTTGAAGCTCCACCAGGACTGCTCTGTTTTTAGAACCGGTCTGGCTAAGAACCACACCGTGGGCTGCCATCTTCCATCACCGTTTTGTTCCTCCCCAGGAGGTGTTTCCATGTGTGCGATAATAAACACCTGAGTCGTAGGCTCTAAGAAAGTGTAAATGTGTAACATAATCTGATGACGATCATACTGCTTCGCAGGTGTTTCTTTAGGAGCAAGTGTGGCTCCATGTGAATATTTGCATGACGACTGGCATTTTATTTATGTCATCTTAGCATATAATCTGTGGAAGCTGTGGCTACTCCAGTGTTCATCCAGTTTCATACTGTCCTAAACGGAAACCCTGGTCAAAATTGTACTCTACAACAATCCTAAAGTCATTTCCCTATTGCTTATGCTCTTAATTATAATTTCTTAAATCTTGAGAAAAGAATATATAGTTCACAGCAGTTCTAAAATGCATGCTCCTCTGCACCTGTGTCCTTTCACTACACAACTCCCCTGGTGTTCCCCCCACCTTTAATTTCTCCATAACCCTGGCTGGAGCTCACACTCATGCTGGTCTTCTCCCCTTCCTTATTTCCTGTACATTTTGATGTAAACGCCTAAATGAAGTAATCTGTCTAGAGAGAAAGCTCCTGGAATGATAGAAGAAGGAATCCAAGCCACCATATACACCATTACTCACTCTTTAGCAGACCAGAGTGAAATGGTTGGAAATATTCATGCTGTAATGATGTCTGGGCTGCCGGAGGCCGACCTTGGGGCACAGTGGTTCTGACTGAACGAGGCTAATGAGATAGCAGGACTGTGGCAGTGGGACGGCAGGGCTCCAGGTGGGAAGACAGGACATAGGAGTGAGAGGCTCAGCCACACAGCAGGCTTGGCCTCAGTCCACCCAATGGGAGAAGTCAAACTGTTGTATGAAATTACCTCGTACCGTGTCAAATGGTCCATTACATCCAGGGGCGTCAAAATCCATCTTCAGTCCCCAGAGCTGTCAGTCTCTCAGGTAAATAACAGGGCATACAAAGAGTGGCTAAGCATTGCTGCAGAAAACTGCTAGAAAGATACAACCAAATCATTCAGTTCAGATTTGCAGCAATATGAATGGTGCTGACTTCTTGCTAAATGTGTGTCAGATTCTCCCAATGAGATGAAAGCTCTTAATCAACACAAATACATGGTCAAGGCCGTATTAACCCAAAGTGAGACTTTTCTAGATTAATCTTGAGTTGCTATTTCAGTAAGAGAAGGTACGGACTCACCTGCCTCTTTGAACCCTACAGTGCTGTATGCTCGCTGAGAACTGTGCTGACCTCCAGGGACTCCGATCTAGAGGTGAAGGCTCAGTCCCTGCCCACTGGGGCCCCCACATTCCAGGAGGGGGACAAGCACATACTTGTTACTGCATCCTGTGTCTCTGAAGGGGAACAGCCAACATGGCTTTGGGGCCCAGAGCTGATCATCACCACCCATGGATAAGAGCAGCCAGGAGGTGGACTTGGCCAGTGGGAAGGAAGGAGTGGCATTGGGGACCAAGTGGCAGAGGGTCATTCTAGGCAAAGGTATGGAGGCATGGGGAGGTGGAGTTGAGGCTGGAATCCTGAGAAAGAGGGGAAGGAGGAGGAGGAGGAAAGGGTGGAGATGGAGGAAGAGAGGTCATGGAGTGTGGACGATTATGTATGGCCACAAATTCCTTGACATTCTTCTTGCCAAGAGGTGGGGTCCACATGCCCTCCCCTTGGGCTGGGAGGGCTCTGAAACCCTGCGCCAGTTTCCATGGTAAAGTGATGCTGCACCAGCTTCCAGAGAGTGGTAGCTCCCACTTCCTACCTCTTAGTAAGAACACTGGTGCTTGGAGCCCTGAGATGGCTCCTGTGAGAAGCCCAAGGTGGCCATGTGAAAGGCTGCATAAGACTGCTGCTCCAGCTGTCCCCACCCAGGGGACAGCAGAGGGCCAGCCCAGCTGTTACCCCTGGCAGCAGCATGCGAAGCCGTAAGGGAGAGCTGCCTAGTTGAGCCCAGCCACCCCACAGAACTCTGAGAGATGATAATACAGAGTTGTTTTAAGCTGTTAC